AAGCCATAATTTATTGGTTTTAGCAAAGTAAGTTTCATTATGTTTAATCATCTGTGGCGCTTGCTTTATACATATAAGCAATTCTTAGGGGAAAAAATATACTGGTAAATAGCTGCATAAAACTTGGTAATAAGTTTACTAAAATTTTTCTTGTTACTTGAGTACATCCGATACCAAATTTTAATAAAGTTTTGTAATCTATGGTTTTTAAGTGTGAAAATGCTCTCCGAATATCCCGTTTAAAAACTAAGTCTACAAGGAAAGGAAATAACTCACGTTTAGGGCCTCGGTATTGGCACAAGTCCGCCGGTCTGCTTCGGAGTTGCGACCGGTGAGTTGCAAAAGGAACCGTACCTCAAGCAGCCAGTTGCCGAATACTCTGCAAACCGGGAAGCGCCTCTCCGATATGACGGTACCAGATAATCAAAACCACCTACGTTATGGTCGGCGTTGTTTCTGTGCCAATGTACGCCTGTAGCCGGCAGAAAGGTTTACGGGTTAATGGTTTACGATCAATGGCGCCGCGTAAACCTTTCTGCCGGAAGCGTAAACCTTTCTGCCGGATGCGTAAACCTTTCTGCCGGATTGCTAGCGGCATCCATTGATAAGACAATTGCACCACTATTGCCATTCAGAGCCATTGTGCGTAGGTGTTCCAACCAGTAGCAGAGCTAGATCGTTCTCGAAAAATCACATGTTGCGGCAGAAAGGATTAGGCTAAAAAAACCTTTTTCCTTGATACGTAAAACTTTTTCATTGACAGCGTAAACCTTTCTGCCGGCGGCACCTTTGAAGCATTAACCTTTCTCTCGGAGCCGTAAACATTTTTGCCAGCGGCATCTTTGATGCGTAAACCTTTCTGTCAAACTTCGTAAACCTTTCTGTCAAACTGTGTAAACCTTTTTGCAGGGCCATTGTTTTCATTCTATGATGTTACAAAGGCGTTATTGTGCGCATCACGGCCCATAAGCAGCCATATGAGGTGTGCTACGACAACGAAAGCGGCCTCTCTAGAGTATAAATTGGAAATGCCATTATGCATTTCGCACTTACGTTGTTGCCGTTCCAGTGTTCTGTTTATTTTCACAGAAAGGTCGAAATTTGGCACGGCGAGCATTTCTTAACACAGGTACTGGAAATGAATGGTGGCCAAAATGATAGGGCGCCGTATAGGAAGGATGTATGGCTATTATAAGCGGAAACCGGGCAGTAGGGCGCCGCTTTAAAAATTTGATCGCTTGATAAAAAATCACTTGATTTTATCGGTGAAAACTGTCTACATGTATAAAACAAAATGTGCATACACGTGACACTACCTTATTTGCACTTAAAAAGCAAGCCGAAATTGTTAGCGTAATCCGCTGTTTTGAGGACGCGTATTCTCTGTGTCTAACGCGGCAGCAGCATTAGCATTTCGTTTGACAACAGCCAAGTTTAAACACTGCTCCTAAAATGTCTCAATATGAGATTGTGCACGTTTTTATGGCTACCCGGAAGGTTGATGGGCCTAAATGCGCATAATACCGTCCTTTATTATTATTATTATCATTGCAACTACAGTAGCCAAACTCCATTACGGAGACTTTACACCCCTAGGTGAAAAACTTTGGGCTTTTAGGCTATTGGACAACATTTTTTGTTTAATTTTGAAAATTTTATACTTTTTTCGGTTTGATTTTATGGGATAAAAGTTACCCACCTAGGAATCGAACCCAGAACATACAGCCAGACGTACTACCACCAGTCTATGGGCAATTAACATTAAATATCTGATTATTATTATTAATGGTTATTATTATGATTATTATTATTATTATTACATCACAAAATGAAAATAACGGCCCGGCATAAAGTTTTATGCTGTCAATGAAATAGGTTGACGCATCCGGCAGAAAGGTTTAAGCTTCAAAGGTGCCGCTGGCAGAAAGGTTTACGGATCCGGCAGAAAGGTTTATGTAGTTCGGCTAGAAGGTTTATGCGGCTTCTTTGATCGTAAACCATTAACCCGTAAACCTTTCTGCGGATGACTTACGCCCACAGAGCCAACCAAACAAATCCACTCATAGTTTTAATGCAATTTAAAGCAAATGTCCACAAATTTTAGAGCCCAGCTTTTCCTTAGCTTTGTTACTGTCCTTCTATTTTTAATTTTCCTGCTGAAATACAAACGATCGAAAAATAACGGGACCTCTGGGTAACGGTAATGCGTTTTCCTGAATTTTTGACAATAGTTCGTCATAACTAAGCTGGCAGATGTAGTGCCCATAAACGATTTTCTGGCCAACGTTAGCAAATATTTCTGCTGGAAATTCTAGCGAAACAGTGTCTGTGACGTTTCTGGAGTGCGTGGGCTCTTTATTGAATGTACGTACCTAATTTTAGCGTCACACATGATGCACTTCTTTGAACCGACGTTTTCCAGCGAAGCGAAGTTTTCACTAAATTTTCGAATTAAAAGTCGCAAACTGGGCATCTACACAATCTAAAGTTTGTATTCTTCGACTGTCAGATCGCTACAGCCCAAGATACGAAATTCCAGGATGCTGGTCAAGCAACCATTTCCGGCCGTCTATGTAGAACGAGCGTAACGCTGATACGACAAACCCGTGACAGATCGGCATTTGTAATGTGAGGACTTTTCTAAACTTAGAACACAGTGAGTCACAGATGCCGCAGCGCCGCCATTTAAGACAACTAGCGCTTTTCGTGCCTCTTCTCCATTTGTGAAGTTAATGTGTTGATAGGTGTGACCTCCTGGCCATTTCTCGACACAAGGCAATCTAATCAAAAAGTTTCCGTTCTGACAAATGTACGTTTCATTGACCTATTGGTCTGCATGTTCTCAACTATTCTAGCAAAAGCGAGAAAATATTTTAAAAACTGAATCAGTTTTTTCTGAATGCTCTTTCTTTTGTGTAGCTTGACCCTTTTTTTTGGTTCTTAAATTTGACCTCTGTAGCAGAGCTGACGGAATCAAGCACAAAATTAATAAAAATTAGTAAAAAAAATGCATTGTACTATTTGGGGAGCAAGATTTACTTTTTAGTGATTTACCCTGCCGCAGCACCCTGGGGCGGAAGAAGCCCGGTACAAGGTAGTCAGGAAGTCAAAAAGTACGCATTGATTCGCCCTCTTGATGTTTAAAGCAGCGCGACTTTAAGGAGCTCTGTTTTCTGCAAAAGTAATAAAAACTTAAATACTGTATACAAAAATCAGGCAAACAAGATACAAATTAAGCGCATGAAAATGAGATACTTTGTATGGGGCCTTAAGTTTTCATCTCATTCAGTACGGGAAATTTTGTTTTCCCCCGCACATGTGCCGCTTAGTCGCTTACACGAATGCCGCCTAAAGTTGGCTGCAGCTAAAAACCATTTTCTGGCCAACTCAATTGCGCAACTGAACAATAGAGCAGAGACAACTCAGATAACGGCAAACGTGTTGCCGCAGCGCAAGCGGCTTCAAAATGCAGTCAGCTTTGAACGCGTAAGCGACGAAGCGGCACGTGTGCGGGGAAAACAAAATTTCCCGTACTATATGAGGGGAAAACTTAAGGCCCCATACGAAGTAATAGAAGCCTTATAAAAAATTTGCAACGTAGTCTTAAACTGTACCGCGGTGCCGTGACTACGGTATTACTTAACTAATTCGATGAACTGAACCGATGACTTATAAAGTGATCTCCGGCACTCTGTGCATTCGTCCCATGATAATAACGTGGCACAACGTCTAAGCAAACTGAACAAACAAACGTTCGCGTGTATTTTTGGTATGGACCACGATTATGGCGTAGACAGCGTGTAATATCAGAAACGTTGAGGCTGACGGGGAAAGTCTCTGAACGTCGATACTTTGGTCGCGATTCAATTTGGGATATTTTTATACAGTGAAACGACCGCGAACCGTAGTAACGTCACGACGTTTGTTGGATTCATCGTATTTAAATAAATGGATTTGCTGAACTACCAAAGCTCACAACGACAGCACTTCTGCATGAATATTGAAAGTACGGAATGTGGCAGCATACCGCACACAGTGATAATATTGCAGCGCGTGCCGCAAGACATGTTACAAGATAAGTGCTTTTGCGTTCTAAATGGTTCTGGCAGCGGGTTATGTGACCAGTGAGTATGGATGTTTATTCAGTTGTAGGTTGTGGTGTCTGTGTTTAAGTGTATGCTCATCATGCGATACGTACGGGACCCGGTAGCCACTACTTAAAATGTTGACCAGCCGTACATTAGCGTAACCGCACCGCCACATTCTGCTGCAGACCAGTTAAACAAGACATTATTTCTCTAGACTGGACCGCTAAGTAAGCAATCTTTCAGCGTAATGCTTTCGGCAAAATGTCATTTAACGACATCACAAAACAGCAAAATTCACTCAACTAATTTCTCAGTGAGCAAATGGGAGGAATCAGCAATATATCATCTAGCAAACTATCGAAATGCGGAACGAATATCAAGGAAATGACTAGTACCCGCTCTAACCACCCTTGTCACGAAGTTTTTCGGTAGCATTTGATTTCCTGCTGCCGGTTGCCGCTGCTAAACATATACGGAAGTAAACCCAGAAATTAAAATTACTTCCTCAATCATTTATTTCCGATTTATCCTGGTAAGCGGAGCCCATGACTGAATGTGCCTTTTAGAATTGCCTGGTGGCAGATAATATACAGCTATTCGAGCCATCAGCGCACGCTTCCTACCCTGTCTTTTCTTAGACGTGAAATCTATCCTTGGGGCAATCATGTCCTGATTGTGCAAGGTTTTCCAACGAACGATATGGCTTTCAAACGTATACGCTGAATTTCAAACAGTCATCCCGAAGCGGGTAGCAATTAAAAATTAATTACCAGTTACTGCTGACGCTGCATGACTGATTGGCACCAGAAGACAAACAGCGGTTAACCCGGAACTTCGACGCGGCAATTAGCGCCGGTATATAAGGAGATGCAACTGGGTGCGAGTGCCATTAACTGGTATCACATTAACTTGGCAGAACTACTGTTAATTTTATCCCCTTCTTTGCCGAACTCAATTGTATACGATGAAATCAGCCGCTGCTATCATCATGCTGTGGACCACCATCGCGCTGCTACTTCACCACACTGAAGCGGAGTCTGGTTACCCCGGGGTCGAATCTGGGCTCAACACAATCAACGCGGGAAATGCCATAGTCAAATCTGGGAGTGACACCGACAGGCCGACACGGAAAAAGCGGTAAGGCATGTTTATGAATTTGAAAAAATAGCGACTTGTGACCCTACAGATACGTTGAAGCACGTTTTATTGGAATGAGCTCCTTCGAAATTAGCCGGTTAGCAAAATTCTGAAGCACTTTAATTTCACGCAGTTAAAGGTTGTATCTGCTTTGGTTACAATATTGTCGTTTAAACCATACAATGTCATGTAATCGAGGGATGATGTGTTCAGGCAATTGTTCATACGCAACTGTAATTATCTTCGCGTACAACAGCGACACACAATGCGAGCAGAAACAGACGCAACAGGCTTTGAGAATGCACTAATAGCGAAGGCAGCAAAAACTGGTTTTTAAACGCGAAACTGCAAGACAGTAGAAACAGACAAGTGCTTTCTGAACTGCCCAGGTGATATGTCTGGATACATACAAATACATGATACGAAAACCAACATTTTGCACAGCCGAGTCAGATATTTTTTACTCCGCGGTGAAAACAAAAGGGGTGGCTTAAACACAGTCGTACAAAGATTGAGAATGCTTCGTTAAATTCAGTGCGCTCACGTACAATCCATTCATTATTAGCTTTTAAAATCCGTATGCAGCGGTAGTACAGCCAGTACAAAGCGCATACAACAACGCTTTCTACGGCAGGTTCGAATCCAAAAACAATATCCAATCGACTATACTTCAAATTTTTGTGTTTGTTAATTTTGTCAACACACGCATACTTCCACAGTCACGCAGATGGTTTAATACCGGGTTTTGATATGGAATGTTCCGCTCCGAAATACTCGTATCTCGTTATAATATGTAGAGCGTTTTGTAAGACGCACTGCTGGTCGCCTGATCTCTGTGTAAACGTATTTGTTGCATATGCTGTTTTAAATTCTGGCTTTTACTGCTCGTTCGACTTAAGCAGCCCGGGTGAACCGTGTCTCAGGCAGTATGTCCATATTAATCCGTATCGAGACAGTGGGATTGGATTACGTTTCCTCGGTAAAGCACGGTTTAGGGCAATGACCTTCTCAGAACTTACTCGGTTAAGCTGAAATCTGAGAGACCTTGCTTACACGCAGTTAGCGTCGTTTATGTCGTGTAAGCCCAATTCAAAACGGTCTGACACAATTAACGTTTTTTCAAATAAATCATTATCAAGTTATCATCTCGTGTGTCAGCTGCTCTTATAAGTTATAACTATATACGCTCGGAAGTTTGAGCGACATATGATGTGACCAAGAAAAAGTGCAGCGGATTTTGAGTAAACGCTTAGCGAAGACGTCGACGGCAAACGATTTTAAAACCGTGTGAAATACTTAGTGCAGCAGAAACAGACGCACATGCTGAACGGCGCAAACCTGTGTTTGACAGTTTGCGTGGATACGCGGGAGTTTAAGATGAAGCGCAGGTATCGCCAAACACAGTGCTGAACACCAATTGCGCTAGCGGTTGATTTAACCATCAACCGTGGATGGTAGCGGTTACCAACATGCGTAATCGTCAACCGTGGACGGTCGAAGCGTGGCAATATTTCGTTCTTGCCTACTGCATCCATCCACTGTTGACAGTTAAGCATATTGGTTATTGCTGCTGTTTATGATTTGCATTTTTTGCAGTAACTCATTAACCGACGCCCTACAAGCAATTTGGTGTGACGATCCATTAACGACACTTGGCTGTCGCGAGTGCGAGAAGTCATGCGCCAAACCCAACCCGTCGGTGTTCTGCGCTCAAGGATGCCAAAACACCTGCATCTGCAAACCGGGTCTATATGCTACTGGCCTTCCCTCGCCTAAATGCGCGCCGCCCAATGGACCCTTACTCAACAACTGTGAAGCATCCCGCCAACTGCGTAATGGCCAAACGCAACGGCGTAAAGGCTAAACGTATGCACTGCCAGAGGGCCGCGGCAACGGTATTTTTTGCGATTGTTCGATATGGAGAGCATTGCTGATTATCTATTAATTTCCTGACGGTGCTGCGCATGCACAGCCAGCCAGTGGTTACTTTGAAGTTTAAACAGAATTGGTAATTGTAATGAGTGACATCAGATTGGCATTTCTACATGCTGTGCACCCACATTGGTGTAAATAAAAGACGGGAACTCCCTTGGAATAGCAAACTGTTTTTCGTTAAATTTTTTGCATTATTAAAATTCCACCACCTGTCGTGGAACGCGGATTTCGCCTTTGGTTCTGAAGCTAACACTCTTAGTCATTTTTCTTACTTTAGTTTTTGAAATAAATACACACGGAAGGATACTCATTATTGTATCACTCCCACCTTTCACACCCTGCCCAAGCAGTTTGAGATTCACTTTCAGGTATACTGCGTACCATCAAAGCGAAAGGCTTTACCGACCTTGAGGTCGTAATCCGGAAAAGTTGCGCCGTTGAGTTATTGTGTCTTCATGAGCGCTACAATCCCGGATTATCGTCAAATCTGCGCTACCGGAAGTTGTAAGCCATTCAACAAGATGCAGGCATTGATAAGTCAGTTGAAATTACAAGCCATTTTGCTGCAGAAAATTTTCCTATGGTCACATTTTGTACTCAAGATTAACCACTCAGTAAGTCGTTTATCATACAGGCATCGGCAAAATGCCAGTCAACGATTTCACAGAACAGCGAATTACCAGTTAATTAGGTTGTCAGTGAGCAAACAGAATCAATAAGCAATATTTCAGTCAGCGGATTGTTGAGAAGCGGAAGGAAAATCAAGAAAATAAAACGTTGCTGTCCCCACCATGCTCGGCACGGCGGTTTTGGGTAAGATTCGATTTGAAGATGACGGAAGTAAAAAATTTTTAATTCCGCATCAGTAATTTTCCGTTTGTATTGAGAAGCGGAGCAGCGATTTACTATTCCAAAGAGACAGCATTCCTGTCGTTGCTGACACAGCAGCGGATCATTTTCGCTGCTTCCGAACTTCATAACGGAACTGATGACACGTGAATAGTGCGGGCAGCAGTTTGCCGCCCACTGACTTTCACTTTCGCCGATTTACCGGATTGCGACTGTCGTCACCGACACTCGGATTGCACGAAATTCCTAACTGGGAGTACGACATGTACGAATATGCAGCGAAGTTGCACTGCGTGGCTGCTAATTGGACCGCTTCTGTCTCTGGTGGCGCTCCAGCGGATTCATGCAATATGCGTTCGACGCATTTTTTAAGCACGTTAATGCTCGAAAGAAGCGCCAAGTACGGAAGCTTAGTCAATGCAGAAATTTAAAGCGGGCTTTCGTTATTGCGAAAAGCCATATACAGAGCCGTACACGCATTTAAATTCCTGCGGCACTACCGCAGAAGAGGTACGCGAAGTTCGCCGGCTTTGTGAAGCGTTGGTTCTGCAACCTCCACGAGCCATATATATTCCACGATCCATCCGCGATTGTTACAAAAGGGACGGAACACGATATTCATTATTTATTTTACTATCATATTTATATTTAAGTAAATATGTTATTATATATCTTGCATCGAGCGCAGCGAGATGATGCTATTAAGCCTTCGTCAAGAGCATAAAATTTGTCTGACGCGACGAAGAGCGTACGTCACGCTTTTCCAATTCTACAAAAGCAATACTATTTTCCAATGAGATGTCGATCGCTCGATGCAAGATGTGGTTAACAACCACCGCTAGTTATTACCTATTCTCGTACGGCTTCCTATACAGAATGTGCCCATCAGTCCAAGAATATTTCAATTATGTGTATTCTACCACACGTGCTTTCTGTTCCATACTGTTGCTTGAGCCGAATCTTGGTTGTACTGATGATTTTTGAGGGGCAAAAATAATTTGCTGATTTCCACTCTTTGATCCTACAAGGTGCGTGGCAAGTATCCTGAAATCACTACTCCAGGTTAGCCGACATTTATAGCAAGCCAAGAGTAAGTCAACCGCGTGCTTTCTTATGAACTTTCGGGTTTAAAAGTTTACTAAGTAACACTGGGCTTACTAAGTAAAGTGAAGTTCCACGAGAATAGTAAACAGTAAACAAACAGTAAACAGGTTTTGGAGGAAAACAGTAACACCAAAATTAGACCTAACAGTAAACTGCTTCTAAAACTGGCAGTACTGTAACACAACACTGCTTGTCTCACGTGCCTATTACTCAAAATAAGGAAGCGTATCCATACCCAAATGAAATGTCCGACCGACAAAGACACGCACGGATCCAATGGTTGCTTTGAGCACTTCATGGCACTCTCCACCGCTGCCGGTTAATGCTGATGATAAGCTCGACTCGTACACACTGACTTCAAGCGATTGCGTTTTGTAAGAACTGGCACGTCTGTTGATAAAAACTTTTGTTGCTGATATAATAATATATATGATATTATAACGTTCTGTTCATATACCTGCTCAATTCAAAAATTATCGGAAAATAGCGTGACCTCTGGATCGCAATAATGCGTTTTCCTGAGTTATTTACTATAGCTCGTAATAACTAAGCAGGCAGATGTATTGCCGATAAACGATTTCCTGGACAACGTTAGCAAATATTCCTGCGAAGAATATTAACTGATCAGTTAATATAATATAGTTAATATTCGTGTTCCTGATCAGTTAATATTTGTTAATGAATTATAGATATTCTAGCGAAGCAGTTTCTGTGACGTTTTTGAAGTCCTGAATGCGCCTGATTGTGAATTTAGCATCATTAAATTTAACGTCACACAATTTAGCGTATTTGAACCAACGTTTTCCAGCCAATCGAATTATTTTAAGTTTTCGAATATTTTAAAAGTCGCAAACTGGACATCTACACAATCTAGAGTTCGTCTTGTTCACAACTGTCAGATTTCTACAGCCCAAGATAAGAAATTCCAGGATGCTGGTCAAACAACGTTTCCGGCCGTCTATGTAAAACCGAAAACGAACGTCAGGCTGTTACGCCAAACCCGAGACAGAGCGGGAGTTGTAATGTGCAGACTTTCCTCAATTTAGAGAACTGTGAGCCGCAGCTGTTGCAACGCCGCTATTTGAGCCAACCGGCGTTTTGCGCGTGCCTCTTCTCCATCTGTGAAGTAAATGGGTTAAATGGTGTTACCTCCTGGCCATTTCTCGACAAAGGGCAATGAAAAAGTTACCGTTCTGACAAATATACATTTCATCGATGTATTCGCTTGACCTCTTGATTGGTCCTCAAATATGATCTCTGCAGCAGAGCTGACAGAAGAAAACAAACAAAAATTAATTAAAAAATGCATCGTACCATTTGGAGGAACGAGATTTACTTTTTGGTGATTTACCCTGCCGCAGCAACCTGGGGCGGAAGAAGCCCGTTACCATAAGGTTGTCCGGAAGTCAAATAGTACGTATTGCGTCGCTCTCCTGATGTTTAAAGCAGCGCGACTTTAAGAAGCTCCGTTTTCTGCAAAAGTAATAAAAACCTGAATATATACGAAAAATCAAACAAAAATATATAAAATTCTGGCAAATAAGATAAAAATTAAGCGCATGAAAATGAGGTAATAGAAGCCGTACTCTTAAACTAAATGTACAGTAAAACCCCTCGTTACATAGACCCTTATATAACATTCTCCCCTTTATTAAATACGTGGTTCTGAGAACCGGACTGTTCGGTGGATTTTAACATAGGGGCAGTTCTCTATATAACGTTCACCCCTCTATAAGTATAACATACACTTGCAGACAGTATTTAACATACAGGTAACCCCTGCGTTACATACAGCTGGTTGAATAAGCGCAGAAAAGTTTCAAAAGAAAATTCCGGTTTCTGTTTCAAATCTGTCCAGTACCAGATCTGACAGTAAAACCAGCAAAATGGCATTGAAAATTAAAGGTTACCGGTTTATTCTGAAGCATAAACTGCCAGTAATACGGTAGCTTTTTGAAAAAGGACAGTTAGCTAGCTAAGTGAAGTTAAAATCGTGGCAAATTCCCTGTATTGTTTTGTTTCGCGCTGGCTCAGCCTAACTCCTTTGTCATGCCTTGGGAACACATGTGACTTGCCGCCGGCCGTGCACACGGCCAGATTACTTTTCGCATTCTGTTCTGATCAGTCGTGCTGACTAGCTGTTATTTTATCAGTCCGCTGATTTAGCCCTCTTGTGGTCTTCTTTTAATTTACAAGTTAACATGTACTTCGTCTTATTTTAATTACGAGAGTAATTCAGTCATCAGTCAGCAATGCCAGTCAGTCAGCAATGCCTCCAGCCACCAGGAGCAGGAAAACTGCCAATAAACAGTGGAGTGCCGTCGGGAACCCTCGCAAGAAAGTGGCACCAAAAAAGCGTCTGAAAAGTGTCATAGTTCGGCCTGAGCCATCTGGATCGAGCGAGGTTCAGTTAATGGAACCTACTCTCCAATCTGTCTTTCAGCAGCAGCAAAATCATCAGCAGCATCTGGACTCACTGCTCACGATGATGGCAACTCAGCAGCCCCAAGCAATACGGCCACTGTCGCCTTCGTCAAACCTTCAGATCCAGCTGGGTGACGACTTCGGAAGAATCGTGCACCAGGTGGACTCTGCAAAGAAGGCGGATAAAGGAAAACGCAAGCGTCATCGGAAACGAGGTGAGAAAAGTGGTTCCTCATCCTCCGAACAGGAAAGCGACAGTGACAGTTTGCCTGAGCGTAGCGTAGTGCCCCAGCGCCATGGCGACCGCCCTGATGTGTTCAGCCGCTCAGGGCCACCAATGCTCCAGCCATCTGCATCTGACCATTCGGTTCAGCAGCTGTCATCCATTCCCGACAAAAAGCTACGAAAGAAATTAATGGACCTTTCGGATTATGTGGACTTTGATCTGCTGCTGCGGCGCAACAGTCGAAAGCCCAAGAAATTGCAGTCTAATCTATCTTTTGTGGATGGAAAGATGACTCTCACACCCGAAGATGGAAAAGTCAGAATCGACTCGTTTGAGGCGTGGGCAGGTGCCTTTTCCGTTTTGCCAGCTACCTGATCACCGTTGCACCGCAGTTAAGTTCAAAGTTTTTCAAATACCTCGCCATTATTGCCTCGTACGCCGAGCGTGACGTCCCGACCGCTAACTGGCTTGAGTATGACAGACAGTTCCGTGCATTCATGACCAGCTACAAACGGGAGTACGATCTTTGGGCGCATCAACACGAGGACACATACATCGACTGTATTCAAAATCCGCTTTGTAACACGCGTACAGAGCTGACTGATATTGCTCGCCGCGTAAAGGAGCAGAAGAAGGACGACGAATGCCGCCATTGTGGCATGACTGGGCATTTTATCAGCGGTTGCCTACTGCCAAGGAAGGGGCAACCAGGTTATGGGCAGCCCCTTCAAAACTTTCCCGCCACTGAAAAAGAGATCTGTCGCAACTTCAATTTCGGCAACTGCACGACGCCCTGCAAAGCGCCCCGGACTCATATTTGTTTGCGGTGTGGTGACTCCAGCCACCCGGCTGTCACATGCACGAAAACTGATTCCTGAGGTGACAGTGCCGGCGATGCGAGTTCTCTTGCATCACACCACCGCTCTGCCGGACTGCTTGCCGCCTATTCCCATAATTTACGAGAAAGCACAAGAGCAACGATGGCCCCATCAAACTGTGTGCCTGACCCTGAGATCCACCAGGCCGGACGCTGCTGATGTCATCACACTACCGCTATGTTAAACACCCCGGGCCACCAACTTGGGAACCATTACCGGGCTGGACAGATTGTTTGGGGCAGTCGGGCGGAAGCGGGTATCGGATACTCGTGCCGGTGAGGTCATCACCTGGATCCTCGATGTCGCATATGCCGCCGCGCCGCCGACCTGCACTCCCGTAAACACGTAATCTGTTCCGTCGCCACGTGCTTGTTTAGTTACATTAGCCGCTTATCGATATTGCCGCCTGACCCTGGAGGGATGTCGCCGTTAGAAGCGCTAACCAACTGCCTGACCCCGAAATCCAGCTGGACCGACGCTGGCGAAGTCGATGCCACACCGTTACATTCACCACACCGGGCCGCCTCCCATTGTGAACCCTTACCGGACGAAGTAATTTGTTTGGGGGCAGTCGGGTGGAAGTGGGGATATCGGAAGCTCGAACCGGTGAGGTCATCACCTGCACCTTCGAGTTCGCATATGCCGCCGACCTGTTCTACCCGCAAACGCCCAATTACTTCCGCTGTGTTTCGTACGGAATTTCCACAAGAATTTAAGGTATGCAAAACATAAGCGCTGCAGAGCCATTTTTTGGAGGAATAACATGAATTTAAAAACAAAACATTGCTTAGTTGTTATTGACCGATATATGGCCAGCCCCCCGGGGGGGGGGGGGAAGTTAATGACCGCCCCCAGGGGCAGTGCCCCTGTGTAACATACACCTCTTTACAACATTCAGAGTGCTAGAAACGGAGGGTGTATGCAGTAGCGGGATTTTACTGTATTCTTAAACTGTGCCGCGGTGCCGTGACTATGGCCTTACCTTACTTGTCCGATGAACTGAACCGATGACTTAATAAGTGGATCTCAGGCACTATGTGCATTCGTCCCATGATAATAACTAGGCACAACGCCTAATCAAACTGAACAAACAAACGTTCGCATGTTATTTTGGGTATGGACCACGATTATGGCGTAGACTGTGTGTAATATCGGAAACGTTGCTGCTGACGGGGAATGTCACTCAACGTCGATACTTTAGTCGCGATTCAAGTTAGGATATTTTTATACATTGATACGACCGTAAACCGTAGTGACGTCACGACGGTTTTTGTTTGTTGGATTCATCGGATTTAAATAAATGGGGATTTACTGAACTACCAAAGCTCATAACGACAGCACCTCTGCATGAATACTGAAAGTACGGGTTATGTGACCAGTGACTGTATGGATGTTGATTCAATTGTAAGTGTGGGTTGTCTGTGTTTAAGTGTATAGTATGTCATCAAGCGATACGTACGGGTCCAGTTAGCCACTAAGTAAAATGTTTACCAGCCGTACATTAGCGTAACCGCACCGCTACATTCTGCTGCAGCCCAGTTACACATGACAACATAATTTCTCTAGACTGGACCGCTAAGTAAGCTATCTTTCAGCGTAATGCTTTCGGCAAAACGTCACTCAACGACCACACAAAACAGCAAAATTGTCATTCAACTAATTTGTCAGTGAGCAAATGGGAGGAATCAGCAATATGTCGTCTAGAAAACTATCGAAATGCGGAACGAAGATCAAGGAAATGACTAGTACCCAGTCTAACCACCCTTGTCACGACGTTTTTGGGTAGCATTTGATTTCCTGCTGCTTGTTGCTGCTGAACATATACGGAACATATACGGAAGTAAACCCAAAAATTAAATTTACTTCCTCATCATTTATTTTCTATTTATCCTGGTAAGTGAAGCCCGTGACTGACTGTGCTTATTAGAATTACCTGGTGGCAGATAATATACAGCTGTTCGATCCATTAGCGCACGGTTCCTACATTGTCTTTTCTTAGACGTGAAATTTGTCCTTGGGGCGATCTTGTCCTGATTGTGCAAAGTTTTCCAACGAACGATATGCATTTCAGATGTTTACGTTGAATTTTAACCAGTCATCACAAAGCGGGTAGCAATTATAAAATTAATGACCAGTTACTGCTGACACTGACAGTTACAGGCTCCATCTGACAAGCTACGGTTAACCCGGAACTTCGACGCGGCAATTATCGCCGGTATATAAGGAGATGCAACTGGGTGAGAGTGCCATTAACTGGTATCACATTAACTTGGCTGAACCATTGTTCATTAATTTTATCCCCGTCTTGCCGAGCTCATCTGTTTACGATGAAGTCAACCGCTGCTATCATCACGCTGTGTACCACCGTCACGCTGCTACTCCACTGCAGTGCAGCGGAGTTTGATAACCCCACGGTCGAATCTGGGCTCAACACAATCAACGCGGGAAACGGTATAGTCAAATCTGGGAGTGACACCGACAGGCCGACACGGAAAAAGCGGTAAGGCGTGTTTATGATTTAAAAAAATGGCGACTTACGGCTTTAAAGATACGTTGAAGCAAGTTTTATTGGAATCAGCTCTTCAGAAATTTGCCGGGTAGCCTAAATTTGGAATATTTCGATTTTACACAATTAACGGCGTTTATGTCGTGTTAGCCCAATTTAGCCCAACAACATGCTTTTTTGGCTACGGTTACAAAATGCTCGTTCAAAGTTTAAACCATACGACGTGTAATTGAGAGATCATGTGTTCTAGCAGTTGTTCTTACAATTGTACTTATGCGGAGATACGAGCGACTTAAAATGCGAGATAAAAAAGACGTAACGGATTTTGGGAATGCGCTTAGTGAAGACGGCAGAAACTGGTTTTAAAACGTGAAACGGCAAGAGAGCAGAAACAGACGAGTGCTTTCTGAACTTCACAGGTGTACAAGCTTGTCCCGTAATTTCCATCGCATCAGAACAGCGAAAATTACAAATTTACGTGTTGCGCGTAAATCCGTACTACGGCGCGCCATGCCACACTGTTTAAACACGTAACATGCATTTGGCTGGCTGGTGGCTTGGTACACGCCATGTAATTCAATGAGAATAACAGTAACTGCCTGGCGTAAGGTGGCTAAGAAACAGTCGGTGTGGTAATGGACAATTTAACTACGGAGCGGATTTAGGCAATCAGATAAGCGTAGTGACGTGGCCATCGTTTCAAGCGCAAATTTCGCGCTAGCTGTACCTTTACGATGGAAATTACGGGACAAGCTTGTATGTCTGCATACATGACAAATGCAGTTTACGAAACCGGCGCTATGTGCAGCCGATTCGGATATTTTTCACTGCGCAGTGAAAACAAAAGTGGTGGATTGTGCACACTGCACAGGCTTACAGAGAATGAGAATTGCTTCGTTTATTTGCACTCACATACACTCGATTCACTAATGCTTTTAAATCCGCATGCAGCGGTAGTACAGCCAGTACAAAAATTTAGGAAAAAAATATAAAAAACGTACCAAAACTAAAAAACCTAAGAACAAAATTGTGTTGTTGAAAAACCTAAGACAACTGAGAAGGCAGTAACACATTAAGCCCAAGAAAATCGACTCGTGAGTCGTGTGAGAAATATATAGAAGCTGAAATGAGCAGTACCCGAATTGAGCGCTAGCCGAGTTGACCATGAGCCGAAAAGGGCGTAACCCAACGTGATGGCATCTCAGACGCAAAGACTTTCTTGTACTGCTTAACACATTGCACAAGCTTCAGATGTTGTTGTATAGCGTATGCAAAATTAAAGGAAATGTCGAAGAATCTGATCGCTTTTTTGCACTTCCCCCAAAGCATTTCAAAGTGTTAATTTTGTGACACCAGCTTTTGCTCAGTCCAGGGCGAGCATTAGCCGACATGATTGCGTGCACTAGCCTACATGACTGCGTAGGACCGAAATTTGACGGGCTCAAGTATTCTACTATTATGGCAACCGCCAAGTTTTATCGCTTGCCACTAAGCTGCCAGGCCAGCGGCAACTGCCAGTGGCAGGTGTCACTGGACCCTTTTATCCCCTGCCCACACCGAATCGGTTGGGTGCAGGCCCGTAGGGAGACCCCTCGCCATTTTCAAAACTCTTTTACGCTGAGTTAATTGGTGTATTCAGAAAACATTTTGGATGAAAATTGTGGGAGGAAAAGTTTTTGAAAAATTCCCCAAAATTGAAAAATTCCCCAAAAATTCCGAGGGAAAATACCCCAAAAATTTGTGTCGCATTGGGGACCGCCCGTTGATGCCGCCTTAGGGGGTAAACGAATTTCAAAAATCGGCCTCTTCGTCTTGTTCAGGATTTTACGGTGAGTTCAATGGTATATTCAGAACTAGATGAAAACTTTAGGAAGAGCAGAGTTTTGAAAATGGACGAAATATCTCCCTACAGGCCTGATTGGGCTGCAGGTTCTAACTCCTGCAGTCGCATGCATTAGGGCGGGCCGCTAATGCGATCTAAAGTTACTTACAGGGAGATGAAACAGGGTTAACTGTATTCACATACTTAATATAAATATCGACACAGCAGATGTCAGTAAGTTATATAGCATTTAATTAAAGCCCATGGCCTTATATTTTGGAGTGACGGGGCTCAAATTTGATAATTACGGTATGACAGTAGGATTACTAGCGAGCCCATACCGAATGCCTTGACGTTTTTCTGCAGTTCGATTGGAGCCAAAATGTTACGAACAATTTCGAAATGTCTCGACCCATTAATGACTTATGGCTGTCGCGACTGTGAGCAGTCATGCGCCAACCCCCACCCGCCCCCGAAATGCGCTTATCTTTGCGACAGCGCCTGCATCTGCAAACCGGGTCTATACCGTACTTTCATTAACTCGCCGACATGCGCGCCGCCCAATGGACCCCTGCTCAACAACTGCAAAGGCAATATGCCAGTGCGTAAAGGCTAAACATGGGCAAGGCCAGATGGCCGCGGCTACGAAATTTCTTGCGATTGGTCGATATAGATAGCATACGCTGATTATCAATATTATTAATTTCCTGACGGTGTTGCGTACGCGCAGCCAGTCAGCGGTTGCTTTGAACAGAATTAGTGATTCTTCTGATGGTAGCATATTAGCATTTTTGTACATGCTGCGGACACACATTGGTGTAAATAAAAGAGAGGAACTATCTTGAAATGTCAAACTGTTAAACTGTTTTTTGTTAAATTTTGCGCTGTATTAAAATTCCACCACCTTTCGTGGGATGCTGATTTCGTCTTTGGTCCTGCAGCTAATTAACGCACTTGATAGGTTTTGTTAATTTAGCTTTCGAAATAAATGCACACGTCTGGATACACTTCGTTATTGTTTCACTCCCACCTTTAACACCCGGCACAAGCCGTTTGAGATTCACTTACAGGTGCACTGCGCACCACTATGTATAGCGAAAGGCATTACTGACACTGAAATTGTTATCCGGAGACACTGAGCCGTTGAATTATTGGATCTTCATGAGCGCAACAATCTCGGATTATTAGTGTCAAATCTGCGTTTAATTGTAAGTCATTCAACGTGATGCAGCTACTAACCCAGGAAAACCGGGCACTACATTAGAAGGGATGAGACAAGCCAGTTGAAATTGTAAGCTATTTTGCTGCAGGAATCTGCCTCGGGGCACATTTTGTACTCCCGATTAAATTAAATAACCACTCAATAAGTCGATTAACGCTAATTCTTCGGCATAAAGCCAGTCAATCACTTCACAGAACATTCATTGAGCAAATGGCGGAAATAAGCATTATGTCAGTCAGCGGATTGTTGGCAAGCGTAACAAAGATCAAGAAATGAAATAGTTGCTGTCTCCGCCACCATTCTCACGGCGGTTTTGGGTAGCACTCGATTTACACCTGGCGGAAGTAAAAAACAGTTTTAATTCCGAACAATAATTTCCGTTCGTACTCATAAGCGGAGCAACGATTTACTATTCTAAAAGGAGAGCAGCGGATTATTTTCGCTGCTTTCCAACTTCATCACGGAGCTAATGACACGTGACCAGAGCGGGCAGCAGTTTACCGCCCACTGCGGAGTCCGGCTCAGCGTGAAGTTCATCTTCGCCGATTTGCCGGGATTGCGACTGTTGTCACTGATACGCGGGTTGCATGAAATTTCTCACTTGGAGTACGACATGTAGGAATATGCAGTAAAACTGCACTGCAGCTGCGCTTTCGAACGTTTCCGTCGCTGGCAGTGGCGGTCCGCCAGCGGACTGATGCAGTATGCGTTCGAGCGACAAGTTTACGTATTGAGGATGCTGCGTGGAGCAATAATGAACTGATCAAAAGTGATACTTTTCTGCAGTCGACGGAGCCGCGTTGCTATCCCTTAACGGAACATTTAACCTTGATAAAAGAAACGACTTTTTTCCGCTAATGAAGGCCTCTGTAAGCTAAAATTTTATTTCATGTGTAATGTGAGTCTCATGGTAAGCCAACCTTCATTTTAAAATGTTTGCGGATAATTAACAGTTTTTCGAGCGCTGTCAGGTGAAGGCCAACACCGGCAGCGACGTTTCCACTTTTTTTAGCACGCTAATGTTCGAAAGAAGCGCCAAGTACGGGAGCTCAGTCAATGCAGAAATTCAAAGCGGACTTTCGTTATTGCGAAAAGCGATATACAGAGCCGTACACGCATTTGAATTCCTGCTGCACTACCGAAGAAGAGGTACACGAAGTTCACCGGCTTTGTGAAGAGTTGGCTCTGCAACCCCCACGATCCATATATAAATCCATGATCCATATATCCTCTACGATCCATATCCAAATCCACGATCCATATATCCTCCTTGATCCTCTACGGTCCATATATCCTCCACGATCCATCCGCGATTGCTGTAAAAGGGACGGAACACGATATTCTTTTTGTGATTATACTTATTTATATATTCTCGTGTGCGGCTTGGTATACAGAGTGCGCACTCATGCAGTCTTCTGTTTGTATCCAGTGCTCAGTCCAAGAATATTTCAATTATGTGTACTCTACCGTACGTGCTTTCTGTTATATAATGTTGCTCGAGCAGAATCTTGGTTGTTCTAATGAAATTGAGGTGCACAATGATTCGCTTGTTTCCGCTCCTTAATCCTGCAATGTGCGTGGCACATATCCTCGAAATCACCACACTCCAGGTTATCCGAGATTGCAAGCCAAGAGGAAGAGAGGAAGGAAGCCACAAGGAAGAGGAAGAAGCAAGAGGAAGTAAACTGTGTGCTAACTTCATAGTGAACTTTTGCGGTTTTGAAGTTTTACTAAGTAATACTGAGCTTGATAAGTAAACTGAAGTTCCAGGAGAATAGTAAACAGAAAAGGAGTAAAGGTTTTGGTAGGAAAACAATAACACCAAAGTAAGACCTAAGAACGTGACAGCAAATTGGGTTAAAAACTGGCAGTGCTGTAACACAACACTGCTTGTCTCACATGCCTACTACTCAAAATAGGAAGCATATCCATGCCCAAATAAAATGTCCGACTGACAACGACACACACTGATTCAATGGTTGCTTCGCACTTCATGGTACACTCCACCGCTGCCTGTGGATGCTGATGACGAACCCGACTCGTGCTCGCTTACTTCACACGATTGCATTTGTAAGTACTGACAGGTCTAGATCTGTTGATAGAAACTTGTGTTGCTGATATAGTGCAGGCCCACGATGCGATCGGTTAGACAGTGAGGTTCCTGGCTGGGGATGCATAACCAGTGATATTGCGAGGTTGCCGGCTTTCCACTGCGTCATTTGAGAATTACCGTCCAAGGTTGTGACCGTGACCGGGGTTTCCGCAAACGGCGTTTTCACAGTACGACTAGACCAGACGGTGCTAACGGATGGCGCAGTGATGGTGTGTGACAGTTTTGCAGCCATATTTTGCGGAAGATTTGTGGTTACACATTTTGTCGTTTTGTCTGTCGATGCTGCCGCCCGCGCACTTCTTTTAACATGGTTTGAAATGCATCCAGGCTTCACCGCTGTCTAAAAATTTGATTATAAAACGTGCTATATTAGTTTGGAAATTATCGGGCGTGTTAAGCCACTTACGAACAGCAGGTATATATGGTCGATTTTAAATCGTTATCAGGATTTTTGGCACTAATTATTTCCGGATTTTCCAAATAACGTGTTGCATGAATACTTACTTAACTGATAACCACTTAATTATTTAATTATGAATTTGTGAATACTTACTTAATTTTTGGCTAACCTTTCATCACCATTCCTGCCTAGATACATCGGGTGAACCGGCAAGCTTTGCAGCGGTTGCGCGTATCAGGACCAATCCGATATTGTATAGCATGAAAAACAGCGAAAGGATCGGAAAACCGGTACGTTGCGTCTGAAAAAGCTCTAAGTTCATAAACAACTGGGATCTATTTGTTTCAATCTACAGATACTAAAACATTATTGTTAACTTACTCTACAAATGTAATAATTAAAAGGTTGTTGCAAAGTCTTTTTGCGCAAGATGAAACTATGTAGTAATTTTATCGCATTATTTACAAAATACAAATCTTTTTTAAAGTTAGTAATCCATTCTGGTAAAGGTAGAAATGTTTTATGCTAGAATAACAGATTTTGTGATATGAATGGAATGTAATTCGACTCACAGACGAGTTGTACACCTCCGTCGCGAAGCGGACGGACTTAAAACGAAGGAAACGTTTCATTCATGATGTTTAAGTAAACTGAGGGAATTCTAAAATAATATTAATAACCATAAACGAAAGCACATCATCTAGAAAACCAAAAACAGTTCATCAGTGGAGCGACTGTACTCAACTGTACCAAGAACACAGTCAGTATTGCCTCGCTGAATTTCTAAACTGCAACGCTGCAACAAAAACTGATGATCATGATGTCTGATGTTTTTCGCATGGCTAAAATAGCTTGCTTTATTAAGAGACTTGACCAAGACAGCACTCAGACACACCATGTGATTACAAGCATATGAAGCGCGACCAGGAATCTTCCGTCACACGGACAATCGAGCCAATCTGCTTAGTTTTTACCGAACTTCGGCTTGCTGGCCCCACGTGGCGATTGGAGGCGGCGGCGCCGTTTTGGCTGCGTGCGTGGTTTACAGATGATTGCTTGACCGGGGCCGGAGCGCTGGTGACCGCGGCATGGCGTGTGCGGCTAACAGATGGCATGTACGTGGGTGTTTGGTCCACGTCAGTGACCTCGGAAGGACATGTGCTGGTCACAGATGGCATGACCGTGGATGGACGGTACACTTGAGTAGTCATAACGATAGGGAAGCCGGTAGAGCGACTGACCGGATTGGCAGGCTTTGGTGGGTTAGGGTTGGCTACCGGGAACAGATACATGTACACTGGGGTGCTGAAGACATCGTTTCCGGGCGGTTCGGATTTGCTGATTGTTCTTTGGCAGGTTCCATTCTTCAGCTCACTTGAGGATTTCGGGGTTCGCGGTTTGTTGTGGAAACATTCACATTGTCCGTTACTACAGTCTGTGCCACAGTTCCCATCACACTGGTCGTCGGTCTGGCATACTGTTCGAACGCACAGTTTGGTGGAAGGTGCTGTACCAAAACCAAAGATGTACGACTTGTATAATCAAATAGCCTCTATGTTAACTTACCGTCTTCTGCACTGGCATAAACGACGCATGCTAGAGCAAAAACCGCAAGACAGCTGAGAAGACTGGTGCTAGTTCTCATTTTAACAAATGTTGAATGACATGGGTGCAATGAAAACCTGGACTGCGGATAACCTGCTTTATATACCAAGTATCAAAAGTTTTATTAGCAGTGTTTTTTCATGGAAGTCTGAAGCCTTGAAAATGACAAGAAATGGATGAAGAGGTCTCGGAGAATTACGTCGAATAAATCGCATGTCAGCGGCATTTAATCAGGCAGCTCATTTAAAAGATGAGTGGATATGCGACATGGCCCTCCCACGGTTCCATGGTCCCTTCCGATTGTCCAATTGGGACGTTTGCAATGCAGCTTCCTGGTAACGATTATGCGGCAAACGTCGGCACACTCCAAGTCTGCTACAGCTGTTCGTGCAAAATACGCTGAAAGGTGCTGCCATCGGCATAATTCCAGGAGAACCGTCCTCTTCAGTCAGGGTATCATGCATAATCAACAGGCACCCATGAAACTGCGTTGCACTAACGCACATGGAGCCGAAAAGTGCCAACTGTCAGCCCGTAATCCGCTTCGAATTCGTTCACGACCGGCATAACTACAGGCCAAAATACTGTGAGACTTACGATTATATATTACGAGAAGTCCGACATATGTATTATGGGTCATCGTATAAACCTGCATGACCACTGTGCTGCTAGGCTGCCGTATCTTACTTCTAATAAAAACTTTCAAATTGGTTGCATATTGCATTTTGTTAAGTAATATGTACCGTTATGTACAGTTCAGTTATGATCAACATGCGAAAAAATCTTCGAAGTTCGCGGTAGAGCAATTATCACCTTTCAACAATATGTATACTTTTATCAAAGTGTAAATGTAGAAGCAGCAAACATCGCAATAATCAGAGGAGAGGAAACAATTTTCAGCGTTTTCTGTTGATAGAATTCGTTTTTACAAAGC